ATCTATGAATGCTGCCCCCAATCCCACAATGGATCAACAGCAAAATGATGGATTTCTGGATTTACATTACAATAWTTTTTCCCTTGTTGAATTTCTAGAAGTTCCCATAATTTCTCTCACTTTCCTAAAGAAACTTAGAGAGATTTGTCACCCTCCTTTTCTTCACCTTTGGGGTGGTTCTGCTCTCCCCTTTCTCTGAAAGAAAAGATACTTCCCAGGGTGCATAAACAGCGTTTTATCACTGATTTTATGACTGTGCCTAACAAGACATCAAATCCCAGMAGAAACAACTCGATTGATGCTGAAGGAGTGAACAGCAGTGAGGTTTATAGCTCTGACTTGCACTGACAGGAGGCTGGACAAAGCCCTCAACTGAAGCAAAATGGAAATCAATTAAAAGCCRTTGTTACAAAATATATCAGTGCTGTCAGCTGGACTTTAAAGCTGCCCAAACATGAACTATACATTAAATAATTTCCAAAACACTTCCTCACTGACTACCTCGTGAGGCAACCATTGTGGAAACCAAGCAGCCACTCGAGGTTGCTGCTCCTGCTGGCAAAACTCACTTGTCCATGGGAAGAAAATCCCATCATCTGGCACATTTTATTTCTCCTACCCCTGTCACCTTGCTTGTTTTGGCTTAGTGGACATGGCAACCCCGCATTTCAGGCAGGATTCACTCTTAAAAAAGGTCTGAGAAGAGCCTTAAGGGAAGGGAATCTCTGAAGCCTGGAATGGAGCCTGAGCCCATGTGAAAGAGCTGGATGGAGACTCAGTGGGATCCTGCCCACTGCAGCAGGRGAGGAGGAACCACAGGAAGGAAGTCTTCTGCAAAAAAAAAATATCTTCCTGCTATCTGGGCTGAATCTTAGTTTGAGGGAAAGGGATTATTTTCCCAGTCTTGCCAAGATTTTCTTTTGTCTGATATGAGGCAAAACAACTTTTGCCTCAATTTTCTTCTCTCAAAAAAAACATAAAAATTCAATCTGTCTGTCAGGGGTGGAGAGGATGTTGGAGAAGAATATTTTTAGCAGTGTTACATGAAAAGTTATTTTAATGAATGATAATCTCCTCTCAATTATAATCCCCAAATATAAGATTGGATCAGTCTTTTATGTCATCTGAAATGGGGTTTGATCATCCTGACAAGGCTGCTGATTACCAGGGGGAAGTTCAAGCAGGAAGGAATGTACTGAAATAGCTTCCTTTCTTGAAATGTAACAGCCACCTCGCAGAGCTGCCAAGATGCAAATGCTGTTTCAAATGGAAACTCACTGTTTCCTTTCCCTTCTCCAGCTCTCCTGTTCCTTTGGCTGGGCCCACGGGCAGCAGCTAAAGCCTGCACTCTTGGAGCAGCCAGGATATGCCATTCCTGCACCAGGGAAATGCCTGTGGATCCTGGGACACCGGGAYTTTGGGATTGTTATAACTCCAGCACCATCTGGCTGACAAAAGGGGATGTTTGATCACTGTGGGAGGAGGAATGTGTTGAACATACATGCTGAAAGTGTCCATCTCTCCCGTCAGGTTGATYCTCTCCATCAGGCTTGCATCCACTTTTTCTTTGAGTTTCTCTTCCAACTGTTGGGAAACAAAACAAGCAATGGTGAGATCAGATTTCAAACTTGAAATAATCGTTCTTGAAAACTTACGCTCTGAAAAGGTCAGCTTCTTAAATGCTAATCTGTGACCAAACTATATCCAAAACTCATCCAGTGACACTGGAAATCTTTCCTTCTTGGCATGGCAGACCTGTTGATCTGCCAGGATGGGCCATGGTGGCTCCACGTCCTCAAAGAATTAAAGCTCCAAGGTCAAATGTGTAACTCTAGTACAACACGCTACCGTACTAGCTTAACACTGTGGCATCTATCCTGCTAATAAAGATGTTTCTCAACACTCTGTGTGTGCCCAAACTGTAGAGGAGGAGGAGAAGGAGGAGGATGAGGATTGCCAGACCTAGTGGTGGAGAGGCCTGGATGGAGCCAAACATCACAGTTCATTCCTGACCTGTGGCATTTTGGAAGCACCTGAATGTAACGAGCGGCGCGGCTGCAAATCGCATCAGCATAAATTCCTCCTCTCTTCACTCCACATTGCCCCAATATTTCATGCAAGAATTTTCCCAAAAGTACTTTGAATTACTGTTGTGCTTGTTTTTATGAAGGGAATGAACCAACAGTCTTTAAAAAAAAAAATTCGGTCCCCAATCCAAAACAAATTACGTAACGAGTTGAAAAGGACTGAACCCARAACTGATGCTGCAAAGCAGGGTTACAAGCAAATTACTTTTCTGGGGTAGAAACAGCAGATTAAATTATGCAGAGGTCAATAATCAATGGATATTTTAGTCCTTTTGGCTCTCCCAGTCTCCCCAGCAGCCCAGAAGAGGGGCTGGGTGCCACCTCCAGAGGAAAACTCACCTGCTGGGTGGTGGCCAGGCAATACTCTGCAGTACTGAGGATGCTGCAAATGAGGCAGAGTTCTTCTAAAGTGAACTTTGCCACTTCAGAGCCYTCCTTTTCTTTCAGCAAACTGGTGATGGTGAGCCCGCCACTGCTGCTGGTTGTCCTGGAAAAGAAAAAAAGACAAAATCTCTAAGATTTTTGGGTGTACAGACACACAGAGCGCAAAATTCCTGGATGGATTTTAATGCCATAAAAAGGCCTTACGACCACAAAGCCCAGCACCCAATGCAATGCAGGATATCAAACTCACAGCTGCTGTTTTGGTAAAGGAATTTCCTTTACAGAGAGCTTTGTGCCAGGTCTTCAAGCAAAAAACTCATTGACAGCAAGACAGATTAAGATGCAAGTGGAACACAGCCTTCCCCAGGTAGCTTCACCTTCACTGCCAGTTATTCAAAATCTAATTAAAGATTACAGAAGAATCTCAGAACTATCAGGAAACTTGTCATATTTATCTTTGCAGCACTAAACAGCTGTCCACGTGCATTTGAGACTCTGGCAACGTGTTTTAAAAGCTGATGGTATCAACAAAGTAAATTATAGATGATGTGCCTCCCCCTCCACTGCCTTCCAGTGATCAGCGTTCATGTATCAACAAAGAAAGACTCAGAGCAGTTTAGAAGCAGGAAATTCCCTACCTCTCAACTCTTCATAATCCAAATCCATTAAAAAAAATAGGACACTGATATTTATCTTGGACAGCAAAAATGGAGCACTCAAAAAAAAAAGTGGATAAAGAATGCAACTGAGGTCTGATGGAGAATGCACATTAAATTTATCTTTCCACTTGTCTGGATGGAACCCTCTCCCCTTCCAGCTGTGAAAGATTTTACTGGTTTCAGAAAGTCATTCTGTTGCTTCCAGGTTTACAAGAAAAACAAACTGAAGATGGTTAAAAGCAAATAMAATTAACTGCAGTGGAGGTTGGCAACATCTCAGGAGCACCTTTAGCCTGTAGTCTGATATTGGTGCAAACTCATCATGATTTCCTTTACTTTCACTGGATTTACATCTAYATTTCTTATTTATCCAGAGATTAAATGTTCCAGAGCAGAGGGAGGTACAGGTAAGCACTCCAGCATCACACAAATAAACCAGACTCCCTCTAAATTACCATATAGATGATGTTGAGCTAAGGCAGCTGAGATTCACAGTGTGAACTGGTTACCCAAGCAGCAATCCTGAAAGCCAGACCTCTCTGAAGAGACTCGGGCTGGCATTTCCAAAGGAACTTCAAGAAACTGCAAATCTGGCAGCTAATCAAAGCCAAATATGAAGATATTCTCCAGGGGCCCTTACAAAAAAAAAAAATGTGTGGCTGCCCTTGCTTTTTTCTCAGYGCAAGAAACTGAACTTTGAAGAAAACCACAAAGCAGATGGAGCAATACCGCTGCTACCTGGGGTGTTTGACAGGGAAATCAGCGTCCACCAGCATGTCTTTATTAATTATCTTTACAAATCATCTGCTCCTCGCTGGAATGTCTGTGATGCTGGGGAGCCAAACTCACTTGGGCAGGTTCCCAGAGAGAATTTTCCAGGCGTATTCCCGCAGGTATTTCTGGAAGATGGTGGTCAGGGCTATCATGGGCTCGCCGGTGCTCAGCTGGGAGCACTGCACCATGCACTTCTTGTAGTACACAAAGAGGTCAGCACAACTGGGCAGCACAGCTCCTCCTTCATCCACGTTGGGCTTGGGGGGGCCCTGAGCCTTGAAATCGGCCACAAATCTGTCAATCAGCTCGCCCAGGTTCCTGATGGGGGGAACAAAAAGAGATTTCAGCCTGTTGGGGAGGGAAGAGAGGGGATAATGCTTCCAGTGASATGCCCTGTGTTGTGATACCAGCAAGGTTTTAACAGCTGGGCATCCTGGAGCTTTCTCATCTCCGCCCTCCCTCRCASGATTCCTCAGCCCCAACCTTTTGTGCTTTAGTGGAGGCTTCAAATCTCTTCTCCAGCCACACATAAAAGCTCCCCAGCTCTGCCAGCGCTCGGCTCAGCGCGTTTGATGCGAGTGCATAAAGCCTGCGCTCGAGTTTCATTCCTGGCACTGGGAAAAGGAACAGCCAGGCTTCCCATCTCAGTGGACTCCGGAAAAGACCTCRGGGAATATGGATTTTAAGGAGATGTGCTCAAAATGCTGTGCCATTTGTCATTTCTGGGTCCCATTTGGATACCACCTGCCTTTGCACAGCTTCACACATYCTTTAAAGAAGTTTTATTTAACGTGAGCACGAAGTGCACTTCCTACTTAGGCTGTTTTAAAAAGCACAAAAAGCTCTCTTATTGTCTCCAGTGATTCATTATAGCCTGGTCTTCACTCAAATATTTCGGTCCTAAAGGAGGTCCTATATTTTATATTCCCATTTCCAACACGGTCTTGGCTCCGCTTCCTCCAGCTCTCCCCTTCCCCTGGCACAACCTTCACCCCTCTCAGTGCTGAGGGTGTAATGGCTGTGCTGTGCCATCATCCAGGGCTCCTAAGGAGAACCAAATCCTCAGCAGAATGGCTGAGACTCTGCAGTATGTTCTCACTTACCTCTGCCACAGAAAGGTGGAAACACCAGCCAGCAATGACAACTGTCCTCCAATTTCTATCCCTTTTTGCTTTCCCTCTTATGGATGAAAAAAATTCTCTGATTCCAGTTTACCAAAGAGAAAACCCCTCTGATTCCACTTTATCAAAGAGAAAACCCCTCTGATTCTTATTTACCAGAGAGAAAACCTCTCTGATTCCAGTTTACCAAAGAGGAAACCCCTCTGATTCCAGTTTACCAAAGAGAAAACCCCTCTGCTTCCAGTTTACCAAAGAGGAAACCTCTCTGATTCCAATTTACCAAAGAAAAAATCTCTCTGATTCCAATTAACCAAAGAGAAAACCTCTCTGATTCCAATTAACCAAAGAGAAAACCTCTCTGATTCCAGTTTACCAAAGAGAAAACCCCTCAGATTCCAGTTTTCCAAGAACAAGTCTCTTCCCTGATAAACTTAGTGGCTGCTCCAGGACGGATGAACTCCTACCATAGATGATCTGCTGGGCCAAAGCGATTTACAGAAATGTGCTTGGAATATCAGAATTCTCAATCCTGGACTAACACTCCTTGGCTTCAGCCAGTTTACCACAGAGAAAACCCCTATGATTCCAATTTACCAAGGAGAAAACCTCTCTGATTCCAATTTACCAAAGACAAAACCTCTCTGCTTCGAGTTTACCAAAGAGAAAATCCCTCTGATTCCAGTTTATCAAAGAGAAAACCTTCTGATTCCAGTTTATCAAAGAGAAAACCCCTCTGATTCCAATTTACCAAAGAGAAAACCTCTCTGATTCCAGTTTACCAAAGAGAAAATCCCTCTGATTCCAGTTTATCAAAGAGAAAACCTTCTGATTCCAGTTTATCAAAGAGAAAACCCTTCTGATTCCAATTAACCAAAGAGAAAACCCCTCTGATTCCAGTTTACCAAGAACAAGTCTCTTCCCTGATAAACTTAGAGGCTGCTCCAGGATGGATGAACTCCTACCATGGGTGATCTGTTGGGCCAAAGAGATTTACAGAAATGTGCTTGGAATATCAKAATTCTCAATCCTGGACTAACACTCCTTGGCTTCAGCCAGTTTACCACAGAGAAAACCCCTATGATTCCAATTTACCAAGGAGAAAACCTCTCTGATTCCAATTTACCAAAGACAAAACCTCTCTGCTTCGAGTTTACCAAAGAGAAAATCCCTCTGATTCCAGTTTATCAAAGAGAAAACCTTCTGATTCCAGTTTATCAAAGAGAAAACCCCTCTGATTCCAATTTACCAAAGAGAAAACCTCTCTGATTCCAGTTTACCAAAGAGAAAATCCCTCTGATTCCAGTTTATCAAAGAGAAAACCTTCTGATTCCAGTTTATCAAAGAGAAAACCCTTCTGATTCCAATTAACCAAAGAGAAAACCCCTCTGATTCCAGTTKACCAAGAACAAGTCTCTTCCCTGATAAACTTAGAGGCTGCTCCAGGATGGATGAACTCCTACCATGGGTGATCTGTTGGGCCAAAGMGATTTACAGAAATGTGCTTGGAATATCAGAAYTCTCAATCCTGGACCAACACTCCTTGGCTTCAGCCAGGCTGTTGCAAAGACAAGCAGCCCCTTTTTCCCTGCCTATTGCTGGAGCAGTGCACAGAGCTCTGATTCCACCCCCCAGCTCCTCCCGTGTTACAATCCCTGTAAAACCATCCGGCAGCTCCGCTGACGCGATAAATCCGCACACCCCGGCCGGAGCAACGGATTGTGCTGGGCCATAGAGAAGCAGAATTCACCTCCCTGYGTAGCTGCAGCAGAGCCAAACAGATGGCTGCTGCAGGAGGGCTCACACGTGCTGCAGCTCCTCCAGGAAAGCGGACGTGGCTCGCTCCTTGTCAGATTTAACAGCTGCATCTCCACCTCTGCATCTGTGCCTCGCTCCAGCTGGGCAACAAAGTGGAGCTTTCTTAGCATTCACRAGCCACTCGATTTTTTTTTGCCTTCTCTGGGTCTCCAGACAYGGTCAGGAATGTCAGTGGCTGTTGTTTCTTTGTGCTCAGCCCACATGTTCTCCTCTTCTCCAGAGTGAAATGGATCTGCGTTTTCCTGGTCCCCCAAGGTCTTGTCAGCCGGGATGCAGGAGAAAATGCAGCTGTTCCCAAGAGCTGGGAGAGCAGCTTCATGCTTGTTCTGATCCCAACCTGGATAAAAGTGCCCAGTAAACCAGGCTGTGGGACTGCTTCTGTTTCAGAATGGCACTGGTGCAAATAAAATACCAGGTTTTTGTGCACTAAAAGTACCATTAATGCACACTTTGGTTGATGGCAAACTTTCACATCAGTCCCAGTTGGCCAAATATCATAGAAGCCCAAGAATCTTTGTGTGGTGCAATGGGAGCACTGAGAGTCTGGCAGAAAAAGCTGCTGGGAGACAAAACATGAAGAAGGCAGGAGAGCTATAGAAAATGAGAATTTTCTCCACAGACTCTACRGAAAAGCTCCAAGAAAATTCTCTGRTAGTACAGATGTGGTATTTCCTAACAGTAGCATATTTATTGGGAGCGAGAACTCGCCAAAATCTAACCAAGAGAAAGCATGAAATGAAATCATATAAAGGGAATTTTATTCTGGTTCTTTTCATTCCTGCATTCCTCTTTTTTTATTTTTTTTTTCTTTCACTCAACCTATTCAGGGCTTTCCTGCACCCCTGGCAATCACGAGATGGAACCAGGAACTCCTGGGCAGCACAAGAGAAGAACAGAGAAACTCAGGGATGTGAACAGTGCTGGGCACTGAGGAAGGACAGAGACCTGGAGCGTTGCAGAGCATTTTCCATGGATTTTGGAAGGGAATTTTGGAAGCCCCTCTGCTGCTGAGGCTGCACACACTCAGCACAAAGTGCCAGTTTTCCGAGCGCTCTCGACTCAGACGTGCCTTTGAGCAGATTGAAGCAGGGCTCTGCACACTSTCAGCCCCACAGAGCTGACAGAACTCTTCCTCCACTCCAGCACAACAGCTCAGCTCACATCTGCACGCTCCTGCTGCTCCAGCTGACCACAAAGGAGAGCTAAAGACACGCTTCCCAAAGGGGCAGCAATGAAATCGGCTTTGCTGCTCAGAAATCTGATATTTATGCTGCAGCATCTTTAAACTCTCTCTTTCAGGTGTCTTCTCTTAAACTGCTGCAGATTTTGGCACCGTGTTTCTTTAAATGGATATGGAAACAATTTTTTAAGTCAGAAGAAGTCCAGGCTGTTTGCTGCCATGGATTTAAGGCAATGATGAACAAARTATCACACTACTCTCACTGTTCAGAGCTCAAACACACAATTAATGGTCTGAGCAACATCTCAKTTTCAGACATCGGCAACAGAATCCTCAAAAGTTCAATCAAAGGAGAAAGAAGAGAGAAAATCACGAAGGAAAGCGATTTTTGGCAGTCAGGGGCAGCGTGGGGAATACTGTGGCAGTTTTTCTTTGAACTCCCTGCAGCCTGYGGCTATAAAGCTAATATGAAACATCTCGTGACTGTAAAGGAAAAGGAAAAAAAAAAAGGCAACTGAAGGGGCTAGGAGCACAGTGGGGTAGAATTACCAAAATGGGAATTAAAATGGCCCCCAGTGAGAAGGGAAGAAATTCTCCAACAAGTCAGTGCTCAGTTGGCTGAGGGCAGGGGGGAAATATCAGTTTCCCTTTGTTACACTGCAGAGCRGAACCTCAACCCAGCAGGACTCACCACCGTGCAAGGTTTCAGCTATTTAACGATTTCTTTTTTAAGCATAAAAAGTTGATGGGACATGGAAAAGCTTTTTCAAGATGGTTATCAYGGAGTTTGGATGAAATCAGGACACTCCAAGCCTCGAGTTACACACGCTCTCATGGGTAAAGCCTTGGAAAGCAGAAGAGCACAGAGACACSAGATACATGAAGCAGGCACCTCCTTCTCCTTTCCAACCACTAATCTGTGCTAAAAGACTAAACTGAACCTTTTTCAACTATCCCCTCTCCCAGGTGGCACTGGGGCTRCTGCTGAGATGTTGTTTAAACCCTGGTGTGAATTGAGGAGCACAAGAAAGTGCAGAGAGAGCTCAGAAAACTTCAGCGAGCTCCAAGCTGAAAGCTCCTCTCATTTGAGTTGTTTTGCTGCAAGTCAAAGAGGAAGATGAAGAAGGGTGCCAGGGATTAAAGCCCCCTGACAAAGTCCCAGTCTGTGAGCAATGATAATGTTATCTCACAGCCAGCTCATCTAGAGCAGCTTTCATCTAAGGATCTCAWATAACTCATTTCTACAAAGCCAATCTCACGACTCCTCTGCCACGAAGCCACGTGTGTATTTCACAGAAAAGCCAACCCTGGGATTTGTGGAAGACATGAGATGAAAGGAAGACACAGTGGGAACTGCAGAGGCAACAGAAGGAATTCAGGAGCACTGAGCCTCTTCCACAGAAAGGCAGCAGGCACCACCCCTCTGAAATTACACCCAAAACCAACCTCCACAGCCCTCTGAACACTCCGTGTGTCCGAGCAAAGGTCCCACTCAAARTTCCTCCAACCACAATCCCTGCTCCTGGTGAAATCAGATAGCAGAACCTCAATAAATTCATTTTCTGCAGCTTGAGCACAGAATCCAGCACATCCAAAAGCAAACAAACCCCAAAACTCAGGCTGGTTACTCACTTGTCCTGGGACTCGATATACACATAAAGGTGAGGCTCAAAGCACTTGGAAACAATGCCATGGAAAGGATTGTCAGGGACCTTGGGCTTCTTTGGCTGCAAGAAAACATTCAGAGTGTTGGTTCAAACCTGCCCTGTAAGACCTTGAAGGAACAGCACAGAAGGATATAAATCTTTGGAGATACTGCAACACAGAAATTTGCTGTCAAATAATCGTGGCATATAAATGTCAGTATATCCCTCCTTTAAAACATCAGTTTTCCCTCTTTTTCARAGAGCTGTTAGCAATCCAAGGAATTAGCTTTCCACTTGTAAAATATTCTTAGCCTCAAAGAGAAGGCTGCTCCTTGCTAACAGATTTCAGCTGAAGAATCTTAATGCAGTTTGCAAATAAAACCTCCCCGAATCCTTCAAGCAGTAACAAGGCTCCACTAGTCCCCTCTGAAATTAAATGCAGCAGTTATTTGGAAGCAAGATTGAAGAATCCCTGCATTTTAGAAGATCAAGGGTAATAACTCAAAGTTACAGGCTTCATCTGAATGAATTTTATTTAGATAAACAGCATGTAATTACTGGAAGAGCCAGAATTATACAGGCAACCCTACAGGCCTGCTTTCACTGTGAAACGTGTTTCTGGGGATGCAAAGATTTCTATATTTAAATCACATTTAGAGCATTAAGCACATGTGCCATTTGGGAGCCATCCCATTTACCCTCATTTTAGTTTAGTGCTGCACTCTAACCATGGCCAAGCACAGCTCACCAAAACCACTGGGACTGCTCACACATTTAAATTTGTGCATGGTTAAGTACCAGGCTGGGTAGGGCCTTTAAGCTCATTTTTTGCCCTACATCTAGATTGTTATGATTTTTTTTTATTATTTTTTTTTTTACTAATGGATAATTTCTCTTGTTGCTTCCCAGCAAAGCAGCAACTTTTCACTGGCTGCAAAGAGGGCTACAGCGACTCTGGAATGGAATTCTTGCTTCTCTCTCTCCACAAAAAGCCAAGATCAGCTCCCAGCCAATGAAGATATTAATTTTTCCAGCTGATGGTTTTTTTCTTTTTAGTACAAGAAAAGCCAAACAAAAGAAGCAGAACGAGAGAGCCTGAARGACTTTCTCTCCTAAACAACAGAGGAGGTGGCACTAAGAACTTGGCAGGAATAACAGAGTGTGACAAAGCAAACACCTCTCAGCAATAATTCAGTCCCAAATGATGAATCCCAACTTATGGCTGCA